TTTTTTTTTTAATTTCAGGAGGAAAGCACTGAACGAAGTGTTTGCTCATGCTGTTTTAGGAAAACACGAAAATGTTGTTCGTTATTTTGCCGCATGGGCAGAAGATAAACATATGTTAATTCAAAATGAATTTTGTAATCGTGGATCTTTGCAAGATGCTATTGAAAAACATAGAGCTAACGGAACGTATTTCTTAGAATCTGAAATAAGAATAATACTATTACATTTGGCAGAAGGACTTAGGTAGACTTTAACATACCATATTGATTCCCAAAAAAAAAAAAAAAAATTATTTTAACTTAATTACTAATAAATTAAAAATAATATTTCAGATATATTCATTCACATAATCTTGTTCACATGGATATCAAACCGGGAAATATATTTATATCTCTTGAACCTAGAATTAGGCCTTTGCATTATCAATCTGATGATAGCTTTGAGGAAGAAGAATACCAAATAATTTATAAAATAGGTACGAAAAGATATGCTGATATTGTTGAGAATCCTTCAAATTTTAATATTTGTATTGAAAGATTTTTTGGACTATGAAAAAAAAAATTTTTTTTTTTTTTTGAAGGTGATTTGGGTCATGTGACTTCTATAGCCCAAACTCCTACTAGTGTAGAAGAAGGAGACACAAGATATTTAGCAAAAGAAGTGTTTCACGATGACTACAGCAATTTAACTAAAGCTGACATATTTGCTTTGGGTTTGACAGTATACGAGGCAGCTGGAGGTGGACCCTTGCAAAAAAACGGTCCGGAGTGGCACGAAATCCGAGAAGGAAAGATTCCATACTTGAAACATTGTAGTAAAGAGTTAAACGATTTTATTAAGGTAATGTGATATTTTAAATTTTAATCATTTCAATACAAATAAATTGTATTTCAAATGTTTTATTTATTTTATTTTTTTTATTTTTGCAGCAAATGACACATCCTGACCCGGAACAACGACCCACAGCTCTTCAAATATTAAAACACAGTATAGTTTGCCCTCCTTCGAATAAAACCAAAGAACAATTAGAGAGAGAACTTTTAGCTGAAAAAACTAAAACTCAAATTCTTGAAAAAAAATTGAAAGCCGTTTCTACGTTATTTAAGAGTAAAATGATAGGTAAAGTTTTCAATAATTACTTTTTTTTTTTTTTGCATTTAAATTTACAAAAAATACTTATTTACTCATTAAAAAAAAAAAAAAATGTTTTTTTATTAGGTAAAAACATTGCGCATGAGGGAATAAGAACCAGATCAAATTCTAGAATGGTTGGAAAAAATGTTAACAGAAGTCATTCTACGACAGAATTTGGATGGTAATGGCGCGCGCGAGCAAAAAACAAAAAAAAAAAATATTTCTTTCCGTTTAACAATTATTATTTTTAAATCTATTTTAAAATACTACTCTTTAAGTAATTCCATAATCGACCAGGCAATTTATTGTTTTTTTTTTTTATTTATTTTTAATAAGGGAAAGGAATATATTCCTATATATATATATATAAATATTAAGATTGTTTGTAAATTACTTGTTTGTAAGAAAGGTCGCTTTTAATTAATATTTCGCGTCATTATTATTTCTTGCATACGAACATAATAAAATTTAATTTATACTTGAATTTTATTTTCTTCGTTTCTTAAATTTTTTTTTTTTTTTTATAGCAATAAACTTCCAATTAGAGTTTTCATTTCGTTACGTATGTTAATTCATTTGCGATCATTTTTAAATTTGTTAAATAAGATTATGTAATATAAATTTATTATTCATGCGTGTATTTTTCAATTTTTGTTTTTTTTTTTTTTTATTTACTAGAAAAAACCTAACCTAACCTACCCTTTGGAAATCGAAAAACTATTAGTTTTTAATTGATTTAACATATTTAAATATGATAAAATTAAAAAATATCAACGCGTTCGTTTGAAAATTAAAAAAAAAAAAAAAATTTTTTTTAATTTTCAAGTTAAACTCTTCTGACCTCTAAGATCAATAGCCATCCTTCAAATATAACACAATAAACGCGAGCAATTTAAACAACAAAGGAAAAACAACAATTTAATATTATTTTAAAAATTTATAAAAACATTTAAAAGTTTTTTAAATTGACCACGACCGTGTTAATTATTAACAGAAATTAATAAAAAAACTTGTAAAAGTATTTTTCAAATTCTTTGTGGCTTCTTTTTTTTGTTTTTTCTAAACCATTAAAAAAACGATATTAAGTATTCCAGTTTAATTATTAACATCAAATCTAAATATGTTTTAAAAATTAATCCTGTTGTTTTCTTATTTCTAATTATTTAAATTGCACCCCCCCCCCCTCAAAAAAAAAAAAACGACTTTTTTCATTATTTCAAAAAAAAATATATATATAAACATATTTAAATGTTAAAATGAATTTTCCTTTGTGATTGTGATGATCTCGAAGAAGGAAATTTTCAATTAAAATCGTATTACGGTTTTTTTTATGATACTTTTCGAATAACGATAAGTGAACCACTTTAAACTTAATCAAAAAATAAAATACCAAATATATAAATATTTTATGGTTTACATAAAAATTTTTCTCAGAATACATAAAATGGATTCTTCAAAAATTAAATATTTTACTGCGTATTACGTAGTATATGTATGCGTTACATAAAATATGATAATGAAAACTATATTTATATTAGATATTTCATTTTAAAAAAATTTTTAAATATTTAAACCTTTTTCAAAAGAATGGGATAAAAACCTGAAAAAAACGTTTAAAATACACAAAGTTTACAGCTGTAAAATTATAAAAAATATTTTAAATTATTACCATAATAATAATTAAAAATAACTTGAGACAAAAAAAAAAAAAAATTCATAATTATTAAAATAAAAACGTGAAAAATTCTGACAATGAAATTATTATGTATTATAAACAAAAATTAATTAGCATAATTAATATTCCTATGGGAAAAAATAATAATAATAATAATAATATATATAAATAAACAATATGGTTTTCTTTTTTTTTTTTTTGTTCATTCGTTAAAGAGGACGACGAACAAAAGAAAAATTTATGAATTTTATTTTTTTTCCGAATTATAAAAAAAAAAAAGATCAAAGAAAAAGAACAAACAAAAATCAAAATTTTGACACGAGATTGTTAATGATACATTTTAAATATATTATATATATTTTTTATGCGAAATTCATATTATAGTTTTATTAAAACAAAATTTTTTGAAAATCCTTCGTAATAATAATAATAATAATAATGAACAAAATCACGTCCGTATTGAAAAAAAAAAAAAAGAAATGAATTAAAACAAAAAAAAATTGTTGAGATGAACCATTAAAATATTATTTTATAATATTAGAGACACATGAAAATTTTTTCAGAGATTTTAATACGTGCGTTTAAATTTCTTTTTTTTTTCAATAAAATTTCTGTCATTTTATGTATGTTATTAATTTATGTTTTCAACATTAAATTTTTATCCTTTGAATAAAAAATAAAAAAAAAATTTAATTCAATTAATATAATAAAAAATCATTATTATTATTTAAATGAAAAAAAAAAAAAAACGAATAATATTTACTTATTTGTTAAATGATAATAATAATAATAATTATTTGAAAGAAAAAAAAAAGGGGGTATTAACACAATTGATTTAGAGTAGAATTGAAGTGTAGAAAAAAAAAAAAGTTTATATATAAAAACGAGGATTTTATGGTAATGCGAATTTGTCACAGATAATGTTGGCCGTTTGCATAAAAGGAAACGAGAAAAAAAGCAGACAAAGGCACAACATTTTTGAGATGATTAATAAAGATTAAGAAAATAACTACTCGATGCAGTAAGTTGAATACAAGGAAAAGAAAGAACAAGGAGTTAATATTTGTGATCGAACAACGCAAATAACCTTATGCAGAATAATTAATTTCATTTTTTTTTACCAATCCCATATTTTACTTATTTATTATTATCATTATCATTATTATTATACTTCCCATCAAGGGATTTAATGAATAATTATTTTTTTTTTTTTTTCATAAAATAATGTCCAGTAATTATATATATATATATACACGTATGTATATATATATATATGTAGCTATAAACAAAAATTATTTATAAGTATAAGAAAAATAATAATAATAAATAAAGTTAAATTATAATAATAAATTATTTTTAAAAAAAAAAAAAAAAATTGACATTTTTATAATAAAAAAAAAAAAAAAATGTAGAAGGGAGTGGGAGGGGGTAGGAGTGGGAGTGGGGCGAGGAGGGGAGAAAAAATCTTATTTAATTTTCTTTCGAACAATTATTTCTTCTCTTTTAATTCTGCAGTGTAAAGTACCCATAGGTACGTACCTTGTTGAAGGAGTCTCAACAAGTATTTTTTTTTTTATTTTTTATTTTACTTCAGTTGATTCTTTAGCGTTCATATTTAAGTGTTTCATATAAAAAATTTTTTGTTTTAAATAAGGAAAAAAGAGAAGAAAAAAAAAAGTTCGGTTTTTGCGGTATTACATAGTTTTTTTTTTTTTTTTAATATTATTATTATCATTATTACTAGTCCATATGTTACTAAAAACTTGAATTTATTTAAATATATACATATATATATATATACATGTACGTATGTGTGTATATATATGTATGTATATTAATATATATTTTTTATAATTAAATATTTTAATATTTAAACAGGTAAAATTTTTTATTAATTTTTTTTTTATATTAGTTAATATAAAATAATAATAATAATAATCATTAGTATAATTATTCTGCCATTTTTATCCGTGGTTTATATATATAGTATATATATAAATCTGGTGATTGAAGTATTTCAATGAACTCAAAAAAAAAGTCAGTGAAAAGATCAAGTTTGAAAAAAATTATTATTATTATTATTATTTTTTTTTCACATTTAACATGTGTAGTATTATTTATGTTAATTCATGGCAACTTTCGTATTTATTATTATTAAATTATTATCATTATGATTTTTTCTTTTTTTTTTTATTAGTTTTTTAACAAAGAGAAAGCTTGTGAAAATTATTATTTTTATTTTTTTATAGTTATATATTAAAACATATTAAAATAAATTCTTCTTTTTTTTCTTTCTCGTTGATTGAGAGATTTAAAAAAAAAAAATTTTCATCTTTTTATTATTTAAATTTTTAATTTAACTCCCTCCCCCCCGGCCCCCCTTTAAAAAGATTTAATTATAATTTTATTAAAAATATATGACGGTAATAGAATTATCACATTTGAAAATTGTTTCATTTTTTTAAAAATTTTCATTATTCATATTATATATAAAATATTTAGTTTTAAAATTATATCTATCTCCCCCCCTCTCTCTCTCTCTCTCTCTCTCTTTGTACGTATAAATTATTATAATAAAAAATTTTCTCACAACAAAACTTGGCTAATTACAAAGAAAATACAAAAAGAAAAAAAAGAAAAACATGTTTAAATTTTTATTGAAATAATTTATGAATGGAAAATTATTAATAAAAAGTTTAAATGTTTTTTTTATTTAAATTTTTACATAAAAAAAGTTTTATTTATATTATTATTATTATTATTATTATTATTATTATTATTATTATTATTATTATTATTATTAATAAATGAAAAAAAAAGAAAAAGAAATTATTTTAAATTGATTAAAAAATAAAATTTAATTAAACGACCGATCTTACATTAAAAATGTGAAACGTTTAATTATTATTATTATTATTATTATTAAAAAAATT